AATACCTAAGAAAAATGTGGCATGACTATGATGTGGCTTGGCAATGTGAAATAACCAACCAATCACCCTTAAGTAAAGTGCTCTCTCTGTAAAAAAAAAAAAAGAAGCCAACTTCTGACTATGTATCTGGACATAAGACATAAGTTATAATAGTATCCAAATATATAGCCAGAAGTTAGGTTTTTTTTAGCTGATGAAGCGGCTATGTCTATATACACAGTTAAAAATTGTTTTTTATTCGGAGGGAGTAAGTATAAATGGAAGAGACAGCGACGTGGTGGTGCCTTATCGTCATGGGCGAAAACGGGCCAGGCCGCCCCGCGGACCACCACCGGGATGATGATGCATGTTCCGTTCCGTTCCGTTCCGTTCGTCCGGAAGCACGGCCCTGCTCGGTGGTTGGCTTCCACGGATGAGGCGAGCGAGCGAGACTGCGAGAGTACGTCACACGCGAATGCATGTCTCGTCGTGGCGACAAGGGCTCTCTCATCTCTTCATGTACCAATCCCCTGCAGATTCCGCGTGCCAATCGCGTTGTTGCCCCGGCCCAGCCGTCGTTCAGTTAGCTGTGATCTACTCCTTCACGTGCACACACACTGGTCACATGTGCAACTAATTAATTCATTATTCCTGCCAGGAGAACAGGTTTACTCCACTTGCACGTAGTATGTACTGGCACTAATGGGGTGTTTAATCACCGGCATAAAGTTTTTACGTGTCACATCGGGTATTATATAGGGTGTCGTATGAGGTATTTTGGTACTAATAAAAAAACTAATTACAGAATTCGTCAGTAAAACGCGAAACGAATTTATTAAGCCTAATTAATCCGTCATTAGTAATGTTTACTGTAGCACCATATTATCAAATCATATAGCAATTAGGCTTAAAAGATTCGTCTCGTAAATTAGTCGCAATCTATGCAATTAGTTATTTTTTAGCCTATATTTAATACTTCATGCAGGTGTTCAAACGTTCGATGTGACAGGGTGAAAAATTTTAAGGTGGGATCTAAACAGGGCCTAAAGCTTAAAGCTTCTTAGGTTGTGTTCCTTCCTGAGGGTTCCCAATCCCCTCTTTCTTGTCTTCTGCGCGCACGCTTTTTAAAATGCTAAACAGTACATTTTTTAAAAAAAGTTTCTATACAAAAGTTGTTTAAAAAAATCATATTGATCCATTTTTGAAAAAAATGGCTAATACTTAATTAACCACGCGATAATGGACTACTTTGTTTTCCGTGCTGGAGGAAAGTGTTCCCAATCATGAGGAAAGAACATAGCCTTAGTGTGTGTACGAGAGGTAATAAAATAAAAAAATTAGGAAAATAAGTAAAACGAGGTTAGGCATTAGTGCAATATTAATTGAGTGTTTTGATAAAAAAGATTAGTTGAGTGTTAATTATTTAAAATTTTTTAGTATATGTTTTTAATCAAATTTTCCATAGATATTTTAAAAAATACATCTTAATTCGAAAAGCGTGCACGCGAAAACAACACAAATCTTCTATATTGCCATGCTGCCGAACACTTCATTTAAGCACACCCTAAAAAGGATATATGAGCTGCTCGAAACTCTTGAAGAATATATAAATGTTGGTATAAAATAAATCAGCGAGCACCTGTTATTTTTTTGACCAAGAACATATTATACACGACGTGGAAAACGACGGAGGTAAGAGAATTGTAGTAGAGTGAAACGTGCTGGTCATTGTCAAAAGGGTTTTAAAATAAGGATCCTGTGCTGTATACTCCTTTTTTAGATGACATATGCTGTGCATATATTAACTCAATAATTGCAGTTTTCCAATCTAATTTGTGAGATCGGCTTGGTTCCATGCGATCCTGTAGTCAATCTCACGAGCACTGTACTTTATCTTATTATTAATTATATCACGGCTCTTGGAGTCACTGGGGTCATTATGTGGCCGGAATTGTTTTTGACAAGGTGGTTAGGACACGCCATCTGACTATTCGAATCAAGTTCCGCTAGGACCAAAAAAAAAAACTAAATGAACAAATCAGAATTTTGCACGATTCAGTCCCGAGCGCCCTTAAGATAGGACGTTTTTGGACTTTGGAGTTCAGTACACGCACGTATAGTCACGGAGTCTGAGTGTTTAACACCTTTTATCTTCGTTTTCATCTGAAAAAGCAGCTCAATTAATTCACGCGGAATATGATGGCCTTTTGACCACAGGTTGAAATTAGTTTGATCGTTAATGGTCATCATAATATTCCGTGGCAAAGAAGCCGTACGTAGATTATAGAGCTACTACTATGAATTCGTAGAATAAACGTGCAGATATATTAAAGAGACACGATTGGATTTGGTTTGGTAATAATTCTAGGCTATGTTTAGTTCAGCGCAAAGTTTAAATTTTTGTTAAAATTAGAGATGATGTGGCTGAAAAGTTATGTGTATGACATGTTGATGTGATAGAAGTTTGGATCTAAACTTTATATCTAAACACAGCCCTAGTCTTCAAGTGCTCAAACGAGGTGTCGGATTGAATATGCTTGCAAGTTCTGTTGGTAGCAGCAACCGAGGATCATACTTCCATCGTATTAGAACGTCCACACTAACTATGTAGAGTACTCCCTCTCCTATAAAAAATAACCTAGTAATTAATCTTTACATATTATAAAAGTTTAAGATATTTTTGCCAATATTTTGGTACGTCATCTGTATTTGAGTAGGTTTTAATACTTTTTTCAGTTTTAATCTCTACTACTTAAATTCCATAATTTTAGAAAGGGTGAAAAAAAATCATGCGGGAAAAGAAAACGCATCGTAATGAAACGCGAAAGAAAAACAGCGAAAAAAAGTCCGATCCGGACTGGAAACGGGAAAAATAATGTGGCGGAAAAAAGCTGAAAAAAACAGAAAAAGCCGACTGTACAAAAATATAAAAGTCGCCGATCGTAAAAAAAATAAAGAAAGCCACGCGAAAAAAGAAACTGTCGTCTAAAAAACGGTGTAGAAAAAAGACCGTAAAAATTACCAGAGAAAAAAACACATTATAAAACAGCAAAAAAAAGTCCCTCTCTTTTATCCGCCTTTTTTTTCTTCTTTTTTTCCGCTTTTATTTTTTTCCCATCCGCTTTTTTTGTCCTTATATTTTATTCGCAATTTTTGTCATGAGAAAGGGTCTGTGCACATTGTGAGGATTCTTTTTTTTTATCTACCCGGTTTTTTCGTCGTCGGGCCGAACTCTAGCACCACCGCCACATCGATCGGCCTTCTCATGCTTTCCCTCCTCCAATTGATTGAAAAATCAATTCTCCACTACTCCATCATCATTTTCCCCATAATTTTTTCTTTTATTTCCGCTTTAATTTATCAGATTCAATCTCTATATTTAGAAGTCACCATTTATATCCTAGAGTTTTATGGATTCGCTGCGGTTTTGATAAAAACGGAAAGAAAAGATCGAGTGAATAAGAGCACTCAACCAATTTTAGGAGATTGAGAAAGATTGGATCGTATTTGATGGGGAGTATTGGTTCTGGCATCATACTACACGGTCCTATCTTCGAGGTTGAACACGGCAGTCGACTATACGAGATAGGCCTATAGCTCTACTTGTGGTCTAGGTTCAAAAGAAGTAAGCCAAGTAGAGAGAAGTAGCGGGTTGGGCCGAGACTGAATAGGAAGGAAGAAAATAAGTTTTTATCCAAAACCAAAAGGTACAATGTATATCAATACAAAAATGGTTTTACCCGTTGCAACGCACGGGCATTTTTTCTAGTATGATACTAATACTAAAAATCTGGACATACCTATGTTCAGATTTATTATACTAGAATATGTCATATCCAGTCCTAGATTCGATTTTTTGGACCAAGGAAGTAGGTTTTAACCATTATAAGCTCGTTGGTAATTGGCAGATGAGTAACGCCAATTTTTGATGTAAGCTCTCACGAGCATCCTCAACCGACTCTACAGTCATACAACTGTAGTAGTTAACAATTATTTATTCAGAAAAAAACCAATTTCTAACCATATCTAAATACGTATTCACAAGTTTTTTTTCTAGGACAGAGCCACGAAGGGAGTATAGCTACAGAGAGGTGTTTAATAAACTATACAAGGTGCCACCAAGCACAATTTATTCGGGTGTTTGATTATTATCTAGATGAACCACGAAGCCTATCCCTATAAAAAAAAGGAAGGTGCATTTGGTCTGAGGTTGTCGCAGCCATGGCGCAAGAGGTCGCTTTTTGGCGTCTTGCCCATATTCATTGTACTGTGCCCTATCGTTTAGTGTTTTTTTTTTGTTTTTTTTTTTACGGAGGGAGTACATCCTGACCGCAAGTTGGTCCACTGTCAGCTACGGCACACCAGATCCCAGCCGCTCGTGTCAAAATTGCACCCGTGCGTCTAGGTGTCCGCGTGATACGGGGCCCCACGGTCCAGGCCACGACCGGGCAGGCTCCTCTCGGCCCGGCTGGCAACACACGTCTCGCTGCCACCCCTGGCCCACCATCCCGCAGGGCGGCAGCATCTCCTGACCCCACACTCCAGTCACCCGCCCCGCCCTAAAACCCACTGCGCCGGGGCCCACCCCGCCCCCGCCTCCCCGCCGCCGCACCACGCTGCTCCTACGCGTTCTTCGTCGAGACGGCGACGTGAGCTCTCCAAGCGCGCGCTCTCCTCCGCTATAAAACCAGGCGCCGCGTGGAAGCTTCTCTCCTCTTGCTAGCCCCACCCCCTCCTCCTCGTCGTCGTCGTCGTCGTGGTCTCTCCTGCTCCGGCGAGGCGACCCCACGGCCGCCAAGGCGCGGGTTAGCTGATTTGGTTTTGATTTGATCTGATTTGATCTGGGGCTGCTTGCTTCGCGGTGCAGCCCGTCGTCACGGTGGGTGGGGGGGGGGGAGCGCAATGGACGCAGAGACCGGCCCGGCCGCGCCGCAGGTAACTTCCCCCAACCCGTCTCCGGTGGTGGATCGGATTCTGCTCGATTTCGAGAAGGGGCTGTGAATTTTTTTCCCCATCTGTTCATTGTTGGGAGGAGTTGTTTTTTTTTTTTGGATAAGGCGATTGGGTGGGTTGTGTGTTGTGACTCCGCGAGTGGTTAGGACTCCGATGTGGTCGTCACGCCGAGGTGATAACGCGCGCGTCTCGATTTTGCTCGCCTTTTTACCGTCAGGAAGGTCTCGCGTTTGATTCCGAGAGGGTTCTCGTTCGATTTTGATTTCGCGATTTCAAGCGGGGTGCGGCGAGTTACTGTTTGCAATCGAATACGAGACGGTGCGGTCGTGCTGATCAATCCGGTGAACTTGTTTCGCTTAAATTCGCTGAAACTGAGAACCAGCTTGGTTTTAGAGCCATATGTAGTTGATGAATCAAGTCAACTGTGCTTTTGGTTGGTGTTTGGTTGGGGATGGGGTTGGCTAGTACATTAGTATTACACATTTTTGCTGCGTTGACGCATTGGCATCACATTTTTTTTATTGAGACGTGTACAGCTACCACTTTTAATCCCGACAATTCTAAATTTGCGTGATCTATAGTTGTTGGTTTTTCCCCTCGACAAAAGAGTAGTCTAATAAAAGTATGAGCTACCAATATCAAATTAATAATCTGTTTAATACATGCCCAGCTACCAATATCTGCTTTCTCTCTTGTTTTACATACTGGACTGTACTGATCGGTTCTCAGTAATAGTTACTATTCACAATCACAGGGTCGGCGTACTGATGATTGTGCTTTTGCAGGACCAATGGAAAAGTTATTGCAGAACTATCTCTCTGCTAGCATTTCAGAGCTTTGGTGTGGTCTATGGAGACTTGAGTACATCACCCCTGTACGTCTACAAAAGTGCATTTTCTGGGAGGCTGAATAATTACCGTGATGAGACAACCATATTTGGATTGTTTTCGCTGATATTTTGGACTTTGACACTTCTTCCGTTGCTGAAGTATGTAATAATTGTATTGAACGCAGATGATAATGGGGAAGGTGAGTAACTTCATAGTACTATATGCTGGGTTATCAGAAATTTAACAGAAACACATACGTTGTATTTTAACTTATGTTCTTCAACTCCCAAAAGTGCTTGAGTTTTGATCGTGCACATCTGCCTAAGCCGATCAGGAGTATATAGAGGATCATATTCTGTAACAACTCACATATGTCATCGTCAATAAATATGCTACTCCATTCTTTAACGAATTTATGCATTGTTCTGTCTAGTTAGTTTAAGAGTCATCTTTATCATGTTTTTTGATTGATTATAATTTTTGTTTATGTAGGTGGAACATTTGCTTTATACTCACTTCTCTGCAGGCATGCAAAGTTCAGCCTGCTTCCAAACCAGCAATCGGCAGACGAAGAGCTTTCAACGTACTATCAGCCTGGAGTTGGTGGCATTATTTCCTCTCCACTCAAAAGATTCCTGGAGAAGCACAGGAAGCTACGGACTTGTTTACTACTTTTTGTTCTGTTTGGCGCATGCATGGTGATAGGTGATGGTGTTTTCACACCTGCTATCTCTGGTATGCCTGGCATGTACATTAGATTAGCTTCGTCTTTCTTTTTTTTTTCAATTATTCAACGCATGCTTTTTCACCTGGATGGTTTTGCTAATAAATTCTCTTGTTGTGTCTGCTGCAGTCTTGTCAGCCATCTCTGGTTTAAAAGACCCTGGCCCAGGAGGAATACCAGATGGTATGCCTTAGCACTGTCTTTTCTACTGCTTATGAGCTGCTAAGAAATTTGCTCAACATATTCCCTAGCACCAGCATTTTCTAATCATTTCATTTTCTGTAGCAAGCTGTTTTAAGAAAGTAGTCCATCTAGTCTTGCTAATTTTCTAATCATTACACACTGTCGCAAATTGTTGGCTATTTGTAAGTTACCTGCTTTTTTTGCTAACTGTATGTCATAAGTTGAACTTCCTAAACTTTGGATCCGCTTTGGCCTTTGGCCTTATAAATCTCCCCTGGAAATAACATCCATACAAGATGCTTATTTGAATCAAAATACCCAGTTCTTATTTGAAGTTCATTAGTATCATCAAGCTGCTTTAAAGTTTTAAATCTGGATACCATATTAGGAGCATATTTGTCTGATCGAGTCATATAGTGAGAACTTAATTCTAACTGAATTTGCAGGCTACTACAGTTGATGTAGATTTAACCTGTTAGATCTCTCTCAATCTCTCTCTCATACAATTTTCTTTTAGGAGACCATACAAGATTTTTAGTGCAGTTACCTATTCCAGCAGCCATTACTAGGGGTTTCTTTCAGTGAACAGCATTCACTACCTTAACTAACTTGCTGTTGTGCAGGTTGGGTGGTGTTCATTGCATGTATTGTGCTTGTTGGCCTGTTTGCACTGCAACACCGAGGAACTCATAGGGTAGCATTTATGTTTGCGCCCATTGTTGTAGTATGGCTGTTGAGTATTGGTGTTATTGGGCTTTATAATATCATCCACTGGAACCACAGAATATTTCTTGCTCTTTCTCCACATTATGTTATAAAGTTCTTCAAGATGACAGGAAAAGATGGTTGGCTTTCTCTTGGAGGAGTACTTCTTGCTATAACAGGTGAATTTGAATAGCCCTTCTATGTGGCTCAAGCCATTTATCTTACAATTTTAGTGAATGGGTTTCCTAATAATTTCTGTGACTTCAGGTACTGAAGCTATGTTTGCTGATCTTGGCCACTTCACTGCTGCATCTATTAGGGTATGCTGCAAGTTGCAACATAAAATTCCCATTTTTTTTGGGGATGCATATTGCATCCTAAGTTATTAAGGTGGTATTTGTCATTCTATCGTTGTGACTCCAGCTCTTGTCCTGCTTGTAGTTGGCTTTTGTTGGTGCCATATATCCCTGTCTTGTGCTGCAATACATGGGGCAGGCTGCATTTCTTTCCAGAAACATGTCAGCTGTAGAAGATAGCTTTTACCAATCTGTACCAAGTAATCTTCATAACTCCAAGCATATTTTGGAATAATTTGTTTTGTATGTTGCCAAGAATTCTTGCTTCATATTGCATCATATTTGCAGGATCCCTGTTTTGGCCAGTGTTTGTCATTGCAACTCTTGCAGCGGTTGTGGGCAGCCAGTCTATCATATCTGCTACCTTTTCAATTGTTAAGCAGTGTCTTTCTTTGGGATGTTTTCCACGGGTTAAGGTCGTGCATACATCAAGGTGGATCCATGGTCAGATTTACATACCTGAGATTAATTGGATTCTGATGGTTCTTTGTCTTGCTGTGACACTTGGTTTCCGAGACACGACAGTTATTGGAAATGCTTACGGTAAGTTTGAACACTTCTTTATACTCTTAACTTTGATCAACTCAGATCTTCAATACTGCAGTAGCTAAGAAAACAGTATGGACTATAGGACTGCTTTAGGTTATAAATTCAAACAGTTTAGATCCCCTATTACCAGCATGCCATGTAAATTTGAATTTATATTCCAATGTTGAATAATTAAAAGGTTAAAGGAATGTGCATTATTAATTATAGTAGACAACAATTCTGTAATTCAGAATCACATTCATATAGCTACCTGGTTCCTCCTCATGGGGCATAATAGGTGCACCAGCTGTTATTTTTCTGAATAGGTCACTACTTAATAGTGACACTCTTCAACTTAATTTGGCGATGCATGCCAATGTATGCTTGCATCTTTTTGAACTAGACTAGTTTATTAGCTTTCTTGTTTTCTCCTGAGAGATGATAGCTCTCTTATCTGATTCTCAAAAAACAAAGGAGTTTCTCATGCTATATTTAGTATTATGTTACTCCTATTGCAACTCATTTGTCATTTCCTCTGCCGATTTCAGGTCTTGCGTGTATCGTTGTGATGTTTGTTACCACCTGGTTGATGGCATTGGTTATCATATTTGTGTGGCAAAAAAACATCCTGCTCGCCTTGTTATTTGTCGTGGCGTTTGGGTCAATCGAAGTGGTGTACCTGTCGGCAGCAGTCACTAAAGTTCCTCAGGGAGGATGGGCACCAATCGTATTTGCCTTCGTGTTCATGCTCGTCATGTACGTATGGCACTACGGCTCTCGGAGGAAGTACCTGTTTGATCTCCAGAACAAGGTCTCAATGAAATGGATCCTGACACTTGGTCCGAGCCTTGGGATCGTTCGGGTGCCTGGAATCGGTCTCATCTACACAGAGCTGGTCACCGGGGTGCCTTCCATCTTCTCGCACTTTGTCACCAACCTGCCTGCTTTCCATCAGGTTCTGGTCTTCGTTTGCGTCAAGTCCGTACCTGTGCCGTTCGTTCCAGAGGACGAACGGTACCTCATTGGACGGATCGGCCCCAGGGAATACCGTATGTACCGGTGCATCGTGAGGTATGGCTACAAAGATGTGCAGAAAGATGACGAGAACTTTGAGAACCACTTGGTGATGAGCATTGCCAAGTTCATCCAAATGGAAGCCGAGGAGGCAGCCTCCTCTGGGAGCTACGAATCTTCGGAAGGGAGGATGGCTGTCATACACACAGAGGACACAACCGGCACCGGTCTGGTGATGAGGGACTCCAATAACGAGGCTTCAGGCACGTCCCTGACAAGGAGCAGCAGGTCGGAGACGCTCCGGAGCCTCCAGTCCATCTACGAGCAGGAGTCCGGTAGTCTCAGCCGGCGTCGCAGAGTCCGTTTTGAGATTGCGGAGGAGGAGCGGATCGACCCCCAGGTGCGGGACGAGCTGGCTGATCTCCTGGACGCCAAGGAGGCCGGCGTGACTTACATCATCGGCCACTCCTACGTGAAGGCAAGGAAGAACTCCAACTTCCTCAAGACGTTCGCCATCGACTACGCTTACTCGTTCCTCCGCAAGAACTGCAGGGGTCCCGCGGTGGCGCTGCACATACCCCACATTAGCCTCGTCGAAGTCGGCATGATCTACTATGTCTAAATCGATTTTTCTGATCATGCTTGCCGTACTACCCAGTAATACTAGCTTTGTTTTGAGCTGAATCTTCTGTTGGTCATCCTCAACTGTGTACGTCATTTTGTTTGCTCTTTTATACATGTAATGTAGTTGCCGAGTTACCATGTGATGTAAAGATGCTGGCAGAACTAGCTTTAGCTGCTACCATCTGAACTCCGGGGCTTCGGTGATCTTGTGAATACATCCAGTTCAACTGTTAAAATGTTCAATGATAGCACATAACATGGCAATAAGTCTGAACATCTTTTGTCCTGGCATTATAAGTTTGGAGCATCTTTGTGATTTCTCGATCCGACGAGCTTTGTGTAATGCGTGCTACATTAATACTACTACATCAATTCTTAGCATGTCGTGGGATTGGGAAATGGATTCCCCTATTTCTGAATCTTGGATGAATTGTATTCATTGATCATGCTTTGCAGATTTTCTTCGGAGAATCTCGCACTATTTAGTCCTTGGTTAGTTCCCAATTTTTTCTTTAAACTTCTAACTTTTTCATCACATCAAAACTTTCCTACATACATAAACTTTCAACTTTTTTCTTTAAACTTACAATTTTAGTCAAACTTCCAATTTTGGTGTGGAACTAAACACACCCTTGGCCTGCATCATATGAATGTCTGAAGCACATGGAAATTATTAAAAGCCAAATTTTGAACTAGCTGTCCAAGTTTTGGATAAACTAGCCATATGAATGTTCTATCGTAGAAGCCAAAACAGTATGGAGTACAAAAATTCGTCAAAGTTTACGCGGAAGCGTGAATTTTTATACCCGGACCCACCTGTATGTCATACAGAAGTACTCCTCCCGTTTGAACTCAAAAAGTCAAAACACAACACACGCTCCGGTCCAGTCCGGTCCGACTCCGACCGCGCCCAAAGAAGGTCCAAGAGCCCAACTGAACCGGAGGAGTCGAGCCGCCGCCTTCCTCTTCGCACACCTCCACCGACCGCCGCCGATCGTGCGGTGCGGCCGGCGTCATGGCGGCGGCCGGCGACCTCACCGACGAGGAGCGCCGCGCGCTCCGGGGCAGCAAGTTCGCGCCGCTTCCAGCGCCTACTGCCCCTTCCCGCCCCCAGCCCAGGTGTCGTATCGTATCCGTCGCCCCCCTTTCCTTCTATTTTCCCTGACTCCAGATCCATTCGTAGCTTGGAGTTTGCTGATTCAAGCGATTCGTCTAGTGTCACTTGTGGGGAAAGCTAGATTCCCGCGTATAAGCGGCTACTTGATTAGTTCTATACCTTTTTCGTGAGCAGATTGATCGAGCTAAGCTAGGTGTGTTTCCTTGCGAATGCGGATTAGGGTTTGGTCGTTTTGCTGTTTGTGTGATTCAGAGGAAGGAATTGCGTGTAGTTGAAGTTCAAATTATTACGTTAGGAGTATCATTTATGTGCGTTTTTATAGGCTTGTTGATTGAACTGGGATTTTGAGTTGCTTTATAGCAATTTCTCACTGTTTAAGCAATTAAGCTAGGAGGTTTGCAATTCTGCGCCTTCTTTTCCCCAAGGTGCCTCTGGTGCCTGTTGCCTGCACATAAGCCAAAAATGACAAAGTAGACTTGTTATGAAAATATATGCACAACGGAGACACGAATTTTTACGTAGAAAACACTTACGGGGAAAAACCATGAGCGTCTATTGGCAATGATCACTATTGAGGAGTTGGTTACAAACGCAGGGGAATAACAATGGGACGTCACCCCTTCCCATGTGGCTTACAATATAGCATATATAGGAGATAAAAGATAAGACTCCTAATAGGGAAAGATTTCAAGTCCTCCTAGGAAACTAATCTGAATATATTGCTAGCAGAAATTTGGATCACATATTTGAAATCTGTATTGCTGAGATAGCGAAATACTATATGTTTGACAACTATCATGTTTGGATTATGGTATAGCTGTGTTTATACTATGAATTAATCAGTGCCTCTTGCATCTATGCTCGCTTTTGGAAGTAAAAAAGAGCGATGGTTCAAGTTCTGGTGGATTTTGCCTGAAACATAATATTAGGTTTAAACTATGGTAGATATCATAGCAGATAACTTGGAATATATTGTGTTATTGTTTTTCTCATGCACGAGTGACCAAGGAGTCTAGCTCTGTGGACTTTATTTTGTAGGCTTGCTCTATGTAAAGTATGATCTTCATGGGTTTTTGTTCTTTGTTATGCTCATGACATGACCCTGAAAGGCTCAAATACTGTACTCCTTTAAATAGGATGGCTCATCCTGGAGGACCACTAACTACAAACAAGGCTGCTGCTTTAGCAAAATTCCTTGAGAGAAAGCTTCAGCAGCCTGATGGGCTGGAATCTCTGAACCCAGACCTTGTCAAATTGGCTGTGAGAAATGCAAAAGAAACAATAAAGGCTAGCAAGGGTACGGATTTCTTATCATCTCACTGTCATATGTCTGGTACTCTGGTTCTTTGGAATGCATGTATTGCGTGTCCTATGTCATTATAGATTACATTATGTAATGATTTACGTAAACCAGTAATGGTGTGCATTTTAGTACAAATACTCATAAAACTATAAGAGCATGAAAATTAACCTTGTCTTACAGTTTATTTTCCCATTTCTTCTTCCGTAATTTGGAGCATTTGTTATTACATGACTGCTCGATATTTTTTTTCTATGATATGATGGATTGATGGTTAAGATAGAAAATGGCTCAAAGGTGGGCTGCACATCTGTCTTATATAGGAACATGAAACTTCAAACAATTTAAACCTTAATTAGTAAAAACGGTTATAAGACTTGATCATACATTTATTTTGTCCACCAGCTAATGCTAAGGTTGCTTGGTTTCTGCATTGTCTGCTAAGGTATTAGGATTGACCTACACCAGCGTTTTTCTCATTCCCAATGTTTGCCCATTATTAACTGTTTATGTGAACCAGTGAATTTGACCTACCATTTTATTCTGTCAATCTAGGTGAACCGTCAACTTCAGGAAGAATAGTACGGCACGTTTCATCATTCGGAGATTCTTCTGAGGTATATATGTTGATGATAACTTTCATATATAATTTGTTTATTTGATTTCCGCGCTTACAATTTCAAGACTATCAGGATTCTGATGATTCAAAAGATGGAGAAGAAACCAAGGGGGTCAAAAGAAAAAGGAAGAATAAGGCAAGTATATGAACATTCACTTGAGAATGTCTGTGAATTGTTTCAATTTTGCTGCTTTTATATACCATACGCCGAAAGTTTTTTGACATGTATCTGACAGTCATATCATATTGCTCAGAAGGATAAGAGTTTTCAAAACGGAGGAGAACAGAGCAAGAAAAAGAAGAAAAATAAAAAGAAAAATCTAAAGGTAATAATACTGTAATACCCTTTTACTAGTTTTCCTTCACAAGAAAGAGGAGAATCAGGAGACTAAGCTTCTGGGTTACTGTCATTGCATAGTCTACTTGGTAAAAATCAGGGTCTAAGTACTGCCTTCTTGGCTTACCAGATGGACATACTCCGTTCATAATAGCACAGCCACACATAGCTATACCGTGGAAAATAGTTTGAATATTTTTAGTTTTACATATTTTTGCTTGGTGGAAAATACTGATGAACGATTCTGGGATGCAGGCTGCTAAAGATTCCAAGTCCCAAAAAGCATCGAAGAAGAAAAAGTTGAAATCCCTATGATTCTTTAACTTCTCTGGTATTAGGGAGCTGAAGGCGTTGCTGTTGTCATTTTTCTTGATTTCACTTTTTTGTGAGTCCCATTTCTTGTAAGCATTGTAAGCACTTGCTCTTCCTGGCATTTTGACACTGGAAATCCCATTTGCGGGCTGCATGCCTGTCACATGATGACCGGAAGCCACATTTGTCGAGAGAGGCAAGACCTCAAGACTAGCACTTGTATACAATTTACAGTGAACAATACAAAACCTGTGAAATCCAGTGCTGCAAAACTGAATTATGGGTGCTGGCTTGCTGTTTCCTCACCTGGGGCATTGAACTCAGTCAAACACGAATTTCGTTGTATTCTATACGATTCTTCTTTCTTTTGGTTGTACGATGATGCTGATATGATGATTCAGCTTGAGATGTCGGGGGGAAAATGAAATGATGGTGTTATTCTGAACTGGATATTCTTCCATCTCTCAAACGATTGGCAAAACCTGTCTGGACCTTTGCTTGCAGAATTCCTGCTTGTTGTGTCTTTTCCTGGGATTATGAGATCCAGTGATTGGGCGAATGAATCTGGCATACAGGCTGGTTATTTCCCGAGGAGTCAACATTGTCTTAAAAACTCATCATACCTCCCTGTAGGCCGTCTTACTGTAGCTGTGCTACAGTAGCATGATCTCCCAAGCTTGTGGCCATCCTTGCCTTTTTGAGTGTCGAACTGCGATTGCATTGCACACTGCCACTGCCGTACGTCTCGAATCCTGGCAAAAAAAAAGGCCCAAAAGTTGGGCTCTGTTGCTGTAAAATGCCATCCTATGCTTTGTTCATACTTATTTAAATATTAGACTATTACATAATATTAGAAAATATCGTAGACTAACTTATAAAAAACACAAAAATAGAGCTTGACCACTATTGTTTTTTTACAGTACTGGTGCAGATACCAATCTTAGCCAAGCCAAATGCAATGGCATAGAAAGGATGCTAAATAATTTGGCAATGCCAATTTTTCTTATCTAAACCAAATGAGTGACGATTTTTGAATGCCATTTTTTTTGGGCAATGATCCAAAGAGGCCCAAAACACAGGAGAAAAAAATGTTGTCATATCTCAATATCTCATACTATACGGCTAGCACTAGCCCTAGTACTACTCCAATAGTACAGTATAGTACTAGTAGTCTACTACTAGTGTATATACTTCTTGTTGGTTTGGCCAGTTGGGGAGGAGGAGAAGTATGAGGAGATGTTACCATTTCCCCGGTGGAAAAGGCACAACCAAAGCAAACCAAACACAATCCTTGGTTACCATTTCGGGGGGCGCTGGCAGAGGCAGCTGACGCGTCGCCTCCTCTGCAGAACAAGTGAAGTTAGCCTCTCTCTCTCTCTCTCTCGTCTACGACCACACCATGCATCATCATCATCATCAGCAATGTGCTTACGTGAACAGTGCTCTACTCCTACACATATCATCCTATCCTTCTACCCCCGTTCCATCCATCTGTACTGTGTACATCATCTCGACTCTTCTTATCCTCTACACGCACGACACTTGGACTGCATGCCCGGTCGGTCAAGAGCTGAGCTAGCTATACCCATCACATGTATACATTTGACAGCTATATGTATATAGACTAGTGTGAGTGTGTGACACACTGGTAGTCGTCTACTAGTGAGTAGTGACTCGAGCTGCTTGCTATGCTATTGCTATCTAGCTACCTGTGTGTCATGCCTTTCACTCGCTCATGGCCGGGATTTACCTTTTCGTTTTGGAAATAAAAAAACCCTTCTCACCGGTTTACCCAAAAACTGATAAAATCGGGGATTTTCAATCAATGTACTACGGAAACTAGCCTAAAACTGATATGTAACCCTAAATTGACCGTGGGCAGTTTCACGAAAACCAAGCGGTTCTCGTGAAAACCGATCGTTTTTTGAAACCTGCTCATAGCTGTATCTTTAACACATGAAAAATGGTCAGAGACATTATGAAAATGATTATTGACCGGTCAAAATTTTTTCATATTTACCAATTTAACTATTTATTAACGACTGCAAAATGTCGTTGGAAAAGAAAAACAAAAATGCTATATGGGAGAAATGGAAAAGGTCAAAAACGATATGAAAACAATGCTCAGTTGGCCGATAATTTCTCCTTTTTAGAACAAGAATTTCTAGCTATCACCATTTCCATTCCTTATTATTGATGCTTTGTATGGTAACAAGAGAGAAAATTAAAAAATGTTGTAGCTAGGGTTGTTAAATGTTGTGTAAAAAAGAAAGAAAAGAAAACAGGTACTCCTACGTAGTAAGACACCAGAAGCAAGTCGTAGTTGAGTACAAAGCGAGAGGCGCGCCGGGGGAGAGTATGGCGCCGGCCGGTCGCGCGCGGCGGTGTGCATTGCGCCGGTGGTGCATACATAGCCCGCGCGCGGCGTGCGTGCGCAGGGCAGCTACCACAGCTAGCTAGCCGAACGATCGATCGATCGGCGCGGCGCGCGCGCAGACGCCGTCACGCACGCACGCACGGACGCGCACGCGCACGCGCGCGCCCACGTCCTGGGAGCGGCCGGCGCGGCGCGGCAGCCCAGAGCGCGCGCTATAGTAGCTAGCGTTGTCGGCGCCGTAGCCGGTGTACAAGTCTCTCGTGCGCGCCGCGGCCGTATGGCTCGGCTCTGTGGCTGTGGCTGGCTGGCGTCCCGCGGGGCAATGCGGCGGCGACACGTCGTCCCACGGGGAGGCCACTCTCACTCGCACGACCTACTGTTCCCTTGTACACGGCGTCGGCGTAGCCGTCTCCATTCTTTTTTACTGCCTCTACCTTATCATCTCACCAATCCCAATGGCATGCATATACTTTTTTTTTCTTTTACGAAACCATATGTTTTATGTTACAGTGTAAGTGTTTCAATGTTTTCTAAACGATCATATTTCCCGTCCTTAAGAATCTACGGGGAACAATGTAACACGAGGTATCAATATAATATAACCGTTGGTTTAGCAGGGGTATGATCGGGCTAACGAAAATGAGATACCGCTGCTAATCACTGCCCACTCAGCCAATAGCGACATCCTCTGTGCCACTCTCTTCTCCTCTGTTCCATCTACCGCATCAGGTCGTCCGTGCCGGCCGTCTGCGCCGCGCCGCCATCGCACATCGAGGTCACCACACTACAGTCGCATCGAGGCTACCACCGGGAATGTCCCCATCTAGGATTCGTGACCTTCATGCCCGTGCTCTCGCCACCATCTCTCGTTGCCCTTGCCTCTCGCCACCCCAGCCCTGCGATTTAGGGCTAGTTTCTCTCACTGCTCTTCCCCGGCGATTTTTTTCCTATCGTGAAAGAGAGAAGAAAGCGAAACACGAAAGAAAGTGATGCCGCACGTGAAAGTACAGACGTACCCTCTCACCCACGATACCGCTTCAATGAGGTACGGACGATTTTTGACCGTTGGATGATGCTAGATCAACGGTCACGATTTGCCATTTGGTACTGCACAACCTTAAGAACAGTAAAATACCTCTTTTAAAACTAGTTAAGTTAAACCAACAACATTAGTTAAGAAATCAACAAATAAAAATCCATACAAGAGTCCTTAAACTCAAATCCTTAGAAAACACATACCAAATTGTTTAGCAACTGATTAAGCTTCTAATCTTAGCAGTCGGTTAGCAGTTTGGAAAACATGCTAAAAGGAAAACATTGCCACTACTAGCTCACTACCGAACGGGGCTTTATAATAGAACTCCAAGACTCTGATCTCTAACATACATTTTTTGTCACCATCATTCTCCTTAAGCAACAACGACCAACACCGATGTCCCCTGAAAATCACTCATGGCATACACTTCTACCATGTATCTTACTTAAATCCAAAAAAACATATATATCTATTATATAGTATGTAGATATCTACCACACATCATATCTCCATTCTTCTACCTACATAGCCTTGCCCAGGCTGCTGCTGCAGGGTCCAGGGAGTGGTTGCTGCGTGCTCTGCCTCTGCCTCTGCATCCATGATCATCCTTGTAGGCAAAGCTCGCACAAGTGGCCTAGTAGCTGGGACTGGGAGAGACGAAGATGCATTTCATCTCTGTGTGTATAATTGCATGTGTAGACAGTAGTAGTGTGTAGAGTGTAGAGCCAGCCTATAGCAATGTATGGTCAGGAGCCCCCTTTTGCAAGGAGCTGTAGTCTCGTACTTGTCAGTTTTAGCTCCAACACATACACTCCTCTGTACTAGCTTCTTCTTCTTCTACTACTACTCTCAGTTTAGATATCATATGCTGCTTCACTGATCATCACCTGCCACCTGCCAATCCCAAGTAAACAAAAGAGTTAACAACAAGAAACCATGCATGCTTATGTTAATCATTGTTCAGTCAAATGCAGGACAATGCCATTGGGGATGATCAGACCAATCAACATGGATCATAGGAACTTGAAGAGTGGGAACAATCTTTCATTCGTTAGATCAGTGCCAAATCATCATCTTCAGTTGCGTAATTGCTTGTCATTTTTGGTGGTCGATATAAAATGGGACAAGTGTGCTGTAGTGCACTCTCCTCTTGGTACTTGGTCGCTTGTTTAATTAATAACTTAGTAATCAATCACATAGACAACAGCAACACTAACACTGTGAGATCGAACTGTTTGACCAGTACAATAACCTTGTCCAATCTGCGAGCTGAAGATTTGAACTTGATGCAGTACTAATTAATTGCCATCAATTATCTGAAAACTAGAAACAGAGTTTTCGTAGCAAGCACTGACAATTGTTAAGGTACCAATACAATTGGAATGATATCCACCAAAATATCTAATATATGGAAGTTTTTTGGAATTAGCATAGAATCAACAATTGAAAATCAGAGTTCAAATTCGAAATGATTAAAGTAAGCGTTCTATGTGGAGCTTTTGTTCTGTGAATTGTGAGTGCACCTTTTCACTACTAAACTCTGTCTGATCTCCTTTTATTCAAACCACAACTTGGTGAGACAAATGTGCATGCCCCAAGTGGTCTTTTTCTACCTTTCCCTTGATTATGTTTAGTGAACTGCCTTGCATACTTCTACAATTGCACATACACACACACACACACAAACACCCACACCCACACTGTCCTAGCATACATATTATTTTTTTGGGGTGTGTGTCTTTTCCACAAAACTTGTTGGTTCTATAAGGGAGGTCTAAAGTCAAAGTAGTGCAAAGGCCACCCCCAAAACCCGGGTGTGACCCTAAGGAATAGACAAGAACATGTGTCTTGTGTGCTGTGCTCGTTTCCATCATAATTATAATTATCAGTTTAATCTGGTCTCTCTGCAAATTAACTAACTTATGCATTTCTAGTACATCTTGTCAAGGCCATTGTGTGGAGCCTCCTTGCCCTTAGATTTCTCCTTTTTTCTCCCCATCTCCAGTTGAACACCACCTTCTCCTCCTCACACCTTTTCAGATGTCTAGCTAGGGCTTGACCTGACCCCATCTTGCAATGCAATATTTTCACAGGCCAACACATATATGCCAAATTCACACACAAGAGAGGGGTGTAGTAGGGGAAGTCAAGGTCATCAGATAAGATCTCTCTCTCTGCATGCACTCTACACATGTAGCTCTCCTCTCATTGTACTATACTTGCATTTGTAGGAAGCTAAGGCATTAGATGCAAGAATTGCCCCAAATGCAGCTCTCCATAAGAATCCAAATTCTCATTGTTCTCATGAGGGATGGAAGTCAAGGCTTTGTACACTCCAAGAAAAGCCTTTTCTAGATGCTCCAAAGTTAAACAAACAAGAGGAATTAACAGTGCTAATTTCACTCTGCATTATATATGCTTAATTAATCAATTGCAAACATTTTTTTCATAAGAAATAAAAAAATCAGCATATCCACTAGATTGATACTTCATCCGTTTCAGGTTCTAAGACCTATATGAATGTGTGCAATGCTAAAATGTCTTATAATTAACTTGAAACGAAGATAGTATAGATTATGTGATGTTCTCTATTTGAAGCCTTTTACAAGATGCTATTACACAACAGCTAATTAATTAATGTGGAGGAGAAATTAGACAGGTGGCCGGTGAAAAGTAGTATCCACCTCAGTTGTTGTTTTGCTTAAACCTCACATGGCACACACTTAACAGTCGGTCGAGTTGATGTTGCTATATACATTGGATGCATTACCACCTCGACGACGTCTTCAATTCGTCTCTCTCCGGTTTGGCTATAGCTCTAGCTCTCTCTCTTTCTTTTTGACTCCAAAAAGGCATCTATTAGGTTTATTAAAATGGCTCTAGAGAGACATGAAAGGGATAGTTCTCTTGTTTTGCTGATTTAATATCACTCCTTTCGATTTGTTCTCATTTGAACCTAACACCGGCACGCACATGCGCACTAATCTATAGAATGTCCATTGTGATTAAATTATCGGCAAGAATTCAATGGGAATTGTGAGGGATAATGATCGTTACAAGCATTTTATTTTAATTAATCTGTCTAGCTAGCTCATGCAAATGAACAAAGCAAAGCTTCACTAGAGAAAAGGAGTCAAAGAAGGGGAGACCCACTGGACCCTCACCTCATGTGAGTGTCACTCAAGGTTGCATGAATGGAACCAAAAGAAATATACCAAAAAAATTACACAGGGAATGCCATGAGAAAGAGTGCCCTTCTACACATTTCACACTGTTGTTCATCTAGTTTTGAGGGCAAGCTAACCACTCCATTTGAAAGCTTCTTAAGTGCTTATGCAATGAGGCAAATATAAGTATAGCTTTAAGGTTTTTTTTTGTTTGATCTTTTTAACTTGCATGCATGCATGTATTGCGCAAGCAAGCACATGGATACGAAGGAAAGCAAAGCCATATGGCCTGTAAAAAATGGGCATTATTGTGTGTAGTAGCATTTTGACATGTATCATAATATATAGCTATAGAAGTAGTATCTTGGAGCAAAGATTTCATTTTTTAAAATTTATTGGAGCACACAAATTACAATTGTTAAAAAGGTGGATGACTAGGTTACATATGTTCTCTTCTTTCCCTGATCCTTTTCCTAACCCAGTGGCAGGCATCTTTTCATTATCTGATTAGTTTGTAATACTGTCTAACTCAGGAGTGAATCATGACTCCATGCAAGCTTAAGGCAGAAATTATTAGAACTAGCTTAATTAAACCACAATTAGAATATATGTAGGACCAGCAAAATTTAAAGAGTTGCTTTGGCAGGGGCTTCTTGGTCACTAGCTTGATTAATGTGGCACTTTCAGATGCTGCCTGGTGTTGGACTGTATATGTTGTATGCCATACCCCCATATTATACCTATAGGATGATAACTTTGCATACATGTGTGGTAGAGAGCTAGCATGCATTGTCATCATAAATGAAGTGTATGAAAACTAAGGGGAGAACATTCCAACCATTCTTAATTTTGAAGCAACACACTCACACACAAACATTAGTAGCACACAACATTCCCCTCTACTGGTCCTAAGGTTAAATTAGGGCACACAAATCCAAACCTCACATTGGAAAACAAGATGAATACTTACAAACTAACCTTGATATGATGCAGCTATAGGTCTAGCTAACACAAGTGCAGTGCATGCATGCCACCCCTCTCTGCCATCTCATCCACAGTGACCTCTCTCTCCAAGACCCATTTAAATACCACCCTTGAATCCCTCCCATTTGAGCACTACACACAAGCTAAGCTTAGCTCGAGCTCATTCATATACCTTAGCTTAGCTAAAGCCTAGCTCACTCTCACTCTCACTCTTGCATTGCATTGCAATATTGCAATATTGCATTGGTCATGAACACTCGAGGCAGCGGCAGTAGCAGCAGCAGCAGCAGCAGCCAGGCCAGCCTGATGGCGTTCTCGGAGCCGCCGAAGCCGGCGAGCCAGCCGTCGCCGCCGTCGTCGCCGATGAGCGAGCGGCCGCCGTCGGGGCGCAGCAGGCGGCGCGCGCAGGAGCCAGGGAGGTTCCTCGGCGTGCGGCGGCGGCCGTGGGGGAGGTACGCTGCCGAGATACGCGACCCGACCACCAAGGAGCGGCACTGGCTGGGCACGTTCGACACGGCGCAGGAGGCGGCGCTGGCGTACGACCGCGCCGCGCTGTCCATGAAGGGCGCCCAGGCGCGCACCAACTTCGTCTACACCCACGCCGCCTACAACTACCCGCCGTTCCTCGCGCCGTTCCACGCGCCGCAGTACGCCGCTGCCGCCGCCGCGCCGTCCTCGGTGCAGTACGGCGGCGGCGTGGGCGCGGCGCCGCACATTGGCTCGTACGGTCACCACCACCACCACCACCACCACCACGGACATGGCGCGGCGTCGGGCGCGTCGTCGGTGGGCGAGTGCTCGACGATGCCGGTGATGGTCCCGGTTGATCCCCACCGCTCCAGCATGTCGTCGTCGCTGCTGGACATGGACAGGAACGGCCACGACTTCCTCTTCTCCGGCGCCGACGACAACTCCGGGTACCTGAGCAGCGTGGTGCCGGAGAGCTGCCTCCGGCCGAGGGGCGGCGGCGCCGCGGCCGATCATCAGGACATGCGGCGCTACTCCGACGCCGACGCCTACGGCATGATGGGGCTCCGGGAGGACGTCGACGACCTCGCGCAGATGGTCGCCGGCTTCTGGGGCGGCGGCGACGCGGCGGACCAGCTCGGCGCCTGCGGGTTCCCGGCGAGCGGCGGCGCCGCCGACATGGTCGCCTCGTCGCAGGGCTCCGACTCCTACTCTCCATTCAGCTTCCTCTCCCATTGATCGAGTTGCACCGGGCATTGCATGGCTAATCACGCACTTTGCCTCTGAGCGATCATGCATATATCATTTCCTGTCTACCATGATCAGATCGAGTTGATCTTGATCAATCTGCGTTTGATCGATCGAGCAAGAGATCGAGTAGTATAGCAGCAGCAGCAGCAGCAGCTAGCAGTAGATCGAACAAGAAGAGTGGCTTGGCGCCATTTCTAGTTAATTAAGTAGAGCTTCTTCAAATATGTACTTAGGCAGATGATCTCTCTCTCTCTCTCTCTCTCTCTCTCTCTCTCTCTCTCTCTTCTATATTAGCATTAGTACCTACTTAGCCATCATATTCATGCATGCATGCATGATATATTGCATGGCACAGCTTGTTAATTTCTTCTAGCATCTTAATCAATTAATCCATGACCTGGTTCAAAATGTCCAATTCGATTTTACATTTTACAACTAACCTGCAATTAGATGACAAGAATGGCGCCGCGAGAAGTACACACATATGTAGTACTGACAATGGATTGAGAAATGGAGAAGAAAATTGAAGAAGATGAGGAACTGAACGACATGGGCAACAAGTACAGAAAAGCTGGGAAAAAGGAGGGAAGCAATTGACAGTTCAACGGAAAGCTCACACTGGACAAGTGTCAGCCAAGCAACCATTTCGTCAGGTACTTGATGCTGATTCTTGCGTACGTCAGGTTCAGAATTTCAGAAATTCAGATGATGACTGACAGTGTCCGAAATGCTCTCTACGCAAGTGCAGGGGTTGATCAAATCCCTGTAGCTTGTTTTGATGTTGGATCGATCCATCACTAGTACACTTCACTACTGTTTATAACTTCTTTTTTTTAATATGGATAAAATCACTATACTAGCGTAAGTACACAAGTACGTATAACAGTACCGTAGTAGTACTGGATTGACATTCGTATAAGCAAGTACGTAATCTAGGGATGCAAGTGCAACAGGTAATCTGTTTTATTTCCCGCTTATCATCACAATTCTAGTTTTTTCCTTCTAAATTTTGTACTCTTAAGTAGGAAACGAACCATTAAAGTCTTGTTTTTTTAATTTAATCCCTCACTCAAGAGAATCGAGATTTAATTTGAGGGGATTAATTCCGTACCTAATCCCCTATAATCTTTTTCTCATGGGAATATAATCAAACGAATAAGACCTAAGCAGATTTTCATATTGATAGCGGGATTGCTCATTTGCACTATAGTACAAGTACATATAACACGCAGGTGGTGGATAGGAGCCTACGATACATACCTGTGGATAAGATCGTTAAATACGTACTCCCTCAATTTCAAATTATAAGTTGTCTATTTTTTTTAAGTCTAATCAAGTTTTAAAAAATATATAAATTTTTGAACACAAACTAAACATATTATTAAAACATATTCTATGTCACATTTAATGAAACTAAATTGGTGTTATAAATTTTACTAAGTTTCTTTTTTTTATATATAAATTTGATCATACACAAATAAGTGTGACTAAGAAAAAAAAATCAAAACGCCTTATAATATGAAATTGAGGTAGCGCGTACTTGCTCTGGATTTGATGATGATGAGGAAGCTTCTGCTGCTCTGTTCGTGGCTGCATTGTTAATCAACTGAATCGCCTAGCCGAACAGAGACAAAGAGGATTTACGGTGGCGATCAGCTGTTAAAAAAAATTGTTAAGTAAAAAGGATCAGCGACGGCACACGATCGAATTAGGGCTGGATCGAAAGTCGTGTATACTTCAGAGTTGGTTGAGTTGATCCCAGTGTAGATTAAGGGTGTTTCTCACGACGGCCGAGGGTATGGAAATGGATTGTGCGGCGGCGAGCGAAGTTGGCCGGCGCCGAAGAAGAAGGGCTTTACTTCGGAGTCCGTGGGAACATTTGGCCCAACCCATGTCAGCCCAATTAAAACTAGCCGTACTTTCCGTGCTAATACACGGGCCATATTGTGGGAAGGAACGTAAGGCCCAGCCCATCTCGACCCACTTAAAACTAACCCCTTACTTGCCGTGCTAATGTAGGCCCGTATGGTGAGGTTTTCTTTTTCCCAGAAAATCACCTCCTCTCTATTTTTGACCATTTTCATAATTTGGGAATCAGTAATCCCTTTACATATGGCTCCATGCATTGGGTCGCTACTCGGTAGCGCAAATATTGGCCCTTATTTTGGACTAGAAGTTATGACAATATATGTAAATCAAGTTATGACAATATATGTAATCTGATTTTTTTATCACATTTAACCATTCGTTTTGTTAAGAAATATATGTAATTATCATTTATTTTATTGTGACTTGATTTATCATCAAATGTTCTTTAAGTATAACATAAATATTTTTATATTTATACAAAAAAAATTGAACAAGATGAATGATCAAATGCTGGTTAAAAAGTCAACGGTGTCATACATTAAAATATAGGGGGAGTAGTTTTTTTTTGCTCAAAAGAAACCTAGTACTTCTTTTTTTTTTTTTGAAACAAATAGTAGTCCTTCCATATATAATAACTGAATAATAACGTTATATATATTCAAGACCAATGAAAAGGACACATATTGTTGACCGAAAGCTTAATTTTGCACATGTTTTCGTTGCCTGCTATGGATAATGGATTCATCCAGACAGGATGATACATCTCAACTGAAGCATCAACTTAATCAATCAGCTACTCATTTTGCCTGTCATCTGGTGGGGCAGCATCACAGTATGCAATGGAGCGGCCTACACAAACCATATATAGCAACAATCAATGTAATTCTAACTTGCTAAAGTGAAAATATTATTTTGGTGCAAATAGGACTGGCACAAGAACAACAGATTTACCAGGGACATGGGCTAGTGTGCTCTTGCGAAGAGTAGTCATTTTGGTAACATAAGATGCTACTTTCTGCGTTAAATCATTAACCGTACTATGAAGAATCTGCAAGTCCAAATTGGATGGGGAAAAACATGGCGGTAGCTGAAGAACCACGCTCATCAAATCAGTGCTTACGGCGCAGCCTATTTATCTCCTGACTGCCTTGAAAACCACGAAAGAATCCCTCGAGCAGCTAGATAAGCAGCGCCGTCGCTTTCTATGGGCCGGCACGGGAGACATTACCGGAGGGAAATGTAAAGTCAACTGGACAAAGACGTGCTTGCCAACCAGTCAGGGAGGATTGGGAGTCCTAAATCTGGAGAAATTCACGAGGGCCTTGCAGCTACGATGGTTATGGCACGAATGGAAGGACCTGACCAAGCCATAGGTGGGACTGGAAACGCCCTGTGATGAAATTGACAGGAGTCTATTCGCCGCTTCAACAAAGATAACAATTGGAGATGGGAACACGACTCGCTTCTGGGACTCCGCCTGGATCGAGGGGCAAAGACCTAAAGACCTTATGCCGCTGGTCTACGCGATCTCTAAGAATAGAGGGAGATATCTTCGAAATGGAAAGGAGGACGACGCCTGGGTTTAGGATTTGGCTTTGGAATCCCACTCTCCTATTACAGTACACCTCGTCGAACAACTAGTCGCTTATGGGAAGCGGTCCGGAATGTTCACTTAGACACTGGAGAACCAGACCAGATTACCTGGAAATTCACAAGTAGTGGACGCTACACGGCCTCCTCGGCCTACCATGCGCAATGCCAAGGAACGCCGAGCACAAGCTTCAACTCCTTAATCTGGAAAGTCTGGGCACCAGGGAAATGTAAATTTCATGCTTGGCTCATCATCCAAAATAGAGTTTGGACCTTAGATCGACTTGCGACCAGGGGTTGGCAAAACAACGGATGTTGTCCTATGTGCCGCTGTGAGGCTGAGACGGCGCTGCACCTCGTTGCCACTTGTAGATACACTAAAAGGATGTGGGGCCTTGTTGCTGGATGGGTGGGATATCAGCAAATTGAGCCGGCTCAATGGGAGGAGGCACAATCAGTACAACAGTGGTGGGAGAACATCGCAAACACGCCAAATGTTCCGAAGAAAGGACTCCGATCACTCATCCTTCTAGTTGTATGGGAAATCTGGAAGGAGAGAAATCGGCGAATCTTTGACCACAAAGAGGTGGCAACGAGTTTCCTCTTGTCAAAAATCAAAGAAGAGGCTAGCCTTTGGGCTTTAGCAGGGGCTAAGCGGCTGCGCAAGTTAATCCCGCATTATGTATAGTGTATAGCTACAGCTCCTCGATTTTTTCCTGTTGCACCTAGGGGTTGTATTTTCTCCTGCCCTATTCAATGAAAAGACACTCTAGTGCTATTTTCCGTTCAAAAAAAAAAGAATCTGCAAGTCAAGCAGATACAAGATCAAAATTTTATCAACATCTGATCTGATCAAAATTTGATCAACATTATCGGAAAAGAAGGGGAGACTCTGTCCAGTGGCATACCTCAAGTGCTTCGGTTGTTGAAGCCTCCCTAAAGTTATTTATCAAACGTTTTATCTCCTGCTGATAGTAACGGTTAATTACCTCGACATCATGATTTGGACTGTAATCCGGTTGACTGCTACGAACAAAAGCCAAAGCATCTTCAAACAAGATATGGCTAACTGCAGCCAAACCTTGAAGAGCACAGAGGAATGAAAGAATGGTTGCTCTATCAACCTTCCTATGGTAAGTGTCCTCGGCAGTCTTAACAAAGGTCGATACATACATCCTGACGGTCTGCATGTTCAGAGAAATTTATAGTACGTTCCAAAATTATGTGATTTCAAGATTCGGTCAAAGAAGAGCATCCAAATAAAAGCATAACCGAGTTACCTGATCTACCGTATGCAGCGAAATTTCACTTGGCGTTTGAGCTCTCAAATGAGCTTCAGTCTGTTTTTCACAAGAGTGGAGAAGTTGGTTAAACAAAGTTCAGTAAAATTGCTAATGTTGGAAATTTGGTAATAATTCGGTATATTTTAATCCAAAATAACAAGATAATAAACATGATATTTACAATGGGATTTGATCCAGTGATAGTGGTGAATGTAATCAACATGAGCATGCTTAACGTTGAATAAGCATCAACAATCACATAATGACACAATGTTGATATTGCGATGAACATTAACAGTAAAACTTCTAATTGAAATAATGTAATAAGGTTATACCCCAAGAATGGTCCTCCGCTGGAGTTTGAGGCAGTATTGCCTCCGTTGGTGTTGACGGGAGTCTCCTTCTCCTTGTCTCCAGTGTTCGACATGTTGGTGAAGATGAAGTAGATGTTGACGAACAGTGAGTAGTCGCGCCTTGCGCTCCCCAAAAACCTGATCGCCCGCCCGTCTGTGCAAACGTCGCAGCAACGCGTGGTTTCGGAGGCCTACTCTCCCAACGGGTGTGCACACACTCGTCGAGATGGGATTACCGTAGCAGCAACAGCTTTGGAAAATGGATGAAAGTGTGTCTTCCTCTTTCGCGGGAGATCAAATCCATTCTCATTTT